TTAAAACTGTAAATAAGGTGTGTTAATTAACAAGGGTGAAAAACTGTCTGAGAGGTGAGTTAATTAACTCATAAATTATTTGCTAGCTATTATAAAAACGTACAATACACAAACAGGGTAAGCGATATGATCAACCTTCCCGAAGAGCTACCAATTGTCCGAATTTTCAAAGAAAAAATTAACAAATTTTATAGTGTAATATCAGTATCTTCTCAAATAAAGCAACCGAACAGTTTTCCAATACGCGCGAATAAGCTCGCGCACGCCTTTACATGTGATAGAATTGTTACTTTGATCAAAGAGATGTTATTGCTCTGCACGGACTATGCGTGAAACGGTTAGACGTGAAGTCTGAAATGGTTGGGTTGACATTTGAATGGTACAAATTTGAAGACACAAATAATAACTTGTCGAAAGACGAGAATAATTATATTTACGAGAATCAGTATATTTACATACGGCAAATTTGGCTTATTCGCGATATACATGGGGATTTTTAAAATGGGGCCTACCTGTTCGATATTTATAAATGACGACATTGCATTTCGTGCGATAGATTAAGCTCAATATTTTTATTTCATTAAATGCAACTTTATAAATAGCGAAGTAGCGTGACTATATGGTACGCGGTATAATCAGCGTTCGACACAAACGTCGGTCCGTAGGCCCAACGCCGACTGATTTTTCGGAGGACTCCTGCTTGCCTATTTCACTCGGGTCCGCCTGGCCTTCGACTTCTTTCTTATCTCGCATAGTTAGTGTCCACTACGACAATTCGGGAAATGCTAGAACTGTCATAGAAACGCAACCTCCGAGTCTCCGATAGTTGACGGTTATTGTTTACTTGTCGTCGACATGACGGAAGCTGCTGTTTTTCCAAACATTGACTCGCGTAACCAGCCTTTGATTTGTAACTGGGTTTTTTTGTCGGCTTTAGCCGCTTGAACTTTAAACAAACCGATTGGTAAAAACAATGAAACGGCCACTATGGTATCATAAATCAATCTACTTTCGGCTAAATTTAACGGTTTAATTATTACTTTTTGATTAAGTAGTCAATCAACTTGCTTGTTGGCTACAATAACAGTCATACCTCTCTGTATGGATTGTGAATCTCGCTCAGGAATTGCGCTTCTTCGACGCTCCGTATAGATTCCAGGTACCGGTAGATAATAAAATAATAATTGGATCATGCATTTAATGGTTTGGCTGACCAGTTGTTACAGAAATTTAAATCTTAGTTGAATATAATCCTCAGAACAGTCATTAATAATATATTTTTCCGACAAAATCTTCGATACCAAATCCGCCGATGACTTGTGACATCAGTTGGAATTTCTAGGGCAATAAGCCAGCAATGCTAGGTTTAGTTTTAAGTAACGTTTACCGTTATGATTTTTTATTTGATACACATGCTGGAAGAGGCTAAATTTTAAACATATTGTCGTTATTATTATTGAAAACTATATGGCATTGTCGTACAGAATTTTATTTTAAAGTAATTTCAATTATGGCTGTCACGTGATCACTGTGCCGTGTGTCTTTCATGGACGAATGAATAAAAACATATTTGCAAGTTACGTGATAGACAAAAACTACAAACTGTGTTATGAAAAATACCACCGTGCTGTATCATTTTATATCCATCCAAAAAACGAAGACAGTTATTTATTCAGGAATATTACTGACACGAAAATTTTCCGAACATAACGCAAGGGTTATGACATTGTTAATCTTAACACGATTCTGGATGAAATATATTACAAACTTCTGTCTCCTACGAAGTTTTCCGTTTTCCGTCGATTCTGGTGTGCACACCCCATTCATTGGCCTTCGACGGGGGCAGTTATCTTTGAAGACTTGAAATTGGCCACCCAGTTATCTCTAATAGTTAGTTTACTGTTATATCTTATAGCTATATAGGCAGTTTGCTTCGTTTCTCTAGAACATTACATTTGGGCTTGTTTCATCATGTAGAGTTTAAACCGATATCTTCACTAAAAGTCTATCAAATCACTTCTCTATGTAAAGGTGTGTCCAAGACTGGTTAGCAGGTGTTCCTTTACTGTAACATTTTGATTCACAAATTGATGGGGTTCGTTTGCAATTTGGATTTAACTATTGTTATATATCACCAACGGTCATCAATTTATCTAAATAAGCTTGTTATTGCCATCAATTTATCTAAATAAGCTTGTTATTTCCATCAATTTATCTAAATAAGCTTGTTATTGCCAAACTAGTATTTTTCTAATGAAGTCGTCTACAGATGTCTACTGTTATTATTGTTTATTTATATTATATTCATGATTATGTTTATTTACAATGTAAGGTCAGTAGTGAGTAAACACTTCCAGTTGATCAGAGCACTTGGGAAAATCCTACCTCCCCCTTCCTAAATGGGAGTTAGGGTTGGGTAGCCGGCTCGCAATACTGACCATTGATGTTAGAAACGCTTACAAAGATCAGAATATTTAGTTTTGGGTAACATTATACTTTATAAGTACATATGAGGTCAACATTCAAAATTTTTCATTGTCTATAATGTGTATTGTGTTTGTCGTTGGTAACTCAATCCGCCATTTTAAATAACCATTTCAAAAATACAATTTTTTTCGAGGGGTGGAGAGGTTACTTTTCCATATTTTAAATCAAATATCTTATGATACTAACTTTTTATACATTTTGGAAACATTATTTAATTTTTATGCTCCCATATTTTCAGGCCAAAGGTTAAAATTCTATTTTTCACTTTCTAAACTTGGAACATAAAACTTGATGGGTTTTTAAATGAGGTCAAATAACGATTATTTCAAACTTGGACACACCAATATGATTTTGTGTTTGGGAGGGAGGGGAGGAAAGGGATGTTATGTCAGACCCATAAGATGTTTTAATTTATATTTATATTTCACTGATATATCTCTTGGGACAATATCATCGACATATGATTTTTCTTTATTATCATAATGATTATCTTATGTTAAATTAATACACATTATAAAGGTTGTTATTTTGTACCCCCATATTAAACATTATTTATGCCTGTAGATCTGTGATGCTACATGTCAAACTTCTAAATTTTCCATTTTTTTAAACTTGGAACAAACCTTTATGGGAATTTGAACGGGGTAAAAATATTTCGAAAGTTTCGGCATACCAAAATGATGTGAGGGTGGTGGGTGGATCGTGACCGCCAGATCGTCATGCTATAGGTCAACATTCTAAATTTTCTTTTTTTTCCTAAACTTGGAACATAAACCTTTATGGGAATTAGAACGGGTCAAAATTATTTCGAAATTTTCGACATACCAACATGTAGTAGTGGGTGCGGGGTGGTTATGTTTTTAGGAGCAACCGCATTTCATAGCTTTTAAAATATTGTTTAATATGGACCAATTGATAATTTATCAGTTAAAAGAGATTATATTATTGTATTGTTTGTTAATTAATTAAATACTGATAGATGTAGTTAAAAATATTTCACCATCACTGTGGTTTGGATCTGATAGGGTGGGGGAACACTAGCCTTGTAATTTTGCTGTGAAATGTTGAACAAGCCGGCGGTAGATGAAAAACTGAGCTGCAGAATAAGCTTGTGAAATCAATGTTCAGGGAAGTGACGATTATCATGGAAGAAACATGATTCTTATTAATTTGAGATAACAATTTCACAGATAACAAGGTTTTAGTTTTGGAGTATAGCACATTTAATGTAAAGAACGAGAGTTGTTTTAACTTGGATCCTTCCAGCTGCAAAGTGTTCCATTTTAATCCACCCGAACTAGGCATATCTCTATATCGGCCCCTCAGATGCCCCTCTGCCCAATTTGTTGCACTATTTCATGGCTGTTCTGATGAAGACATTGTTACATCTATTGCACGAAAAAACGTCGGGTTAATCAACGAAAATTAATGTAAGAGAGAAGTGGGGTTTTAACGTCCACTCACACGGATCAGGTCAGTTCATGACTAACGTGGTTTTGGTTATTCTCATTTGATCATAAGGTCTGTCATTTAAGTCAACTGCTGCGGTATCGATTTCCCGCTTGTGTATGACAAGGGGTAGGTTGCCTGTCCAACCTCATGGGTTTTCTACGGGTCATCCGGTTTCCTCCCACTGCTAAAAATCCATAAGCGCAAGCGAATTATTGAAATAAAATTGAACCATGTGTTTGTCTCGAAATTACCTAGTTTGTGTCAAGTGTACTGTTAAACCCCATTTCTCTCTTCCTACTGTTAAAGACCCTATGTGAACGCTCTAATGACAAAACTTATCATCCGATCTGTATGAAATTTTTATGCATTATTTAATTTAGTGAAATGAAGAATCCTATTGAATTTCAGCAATTTCTGTTAATTATGTCTAAGAGTTATGGCCCTTGATCACTTTGAAATATCTTGTGGATGCTCTAGACGAAGAAACCTATTGCTTTTCAATGATTTCGATAATTACTGCCAGAGTTATGGCCCTTGATCACTTTGAAAAATCGTGTGGATACTTTAGAGACCATAGTTATCATAATATATATATATATATATATATATATATATATATATATATATAAATTGTTTCGATTGATCCACAGAGTTTAAGGTCTTGAGACGAACAAGTATATTGATTTTCAATGATTTTTGGTAACTTGAACAGCTAAATCCATGGTATTAAATGTTTTGTATACTAAATGTTAGCATGGGTCAAACAAATTCTAATGATTTACTTAATGAGTTAATTGTTACTCTTAATCAGATTTTAGTGTATTATAAATGTTTCATTACCAACAAAAGTAAAAATATGCGACAACTCATGTTGACTGCCCGGACGATTTAGATGCTGTGGCCGTATGTTTCGTTGCATGGCAACCTACCTAGGCCTATATTACCTCTTTCCTATACGACAGAAAATATATACAAAAAGACTATATAACCATGTTATGATAAAATCAATCTAAATAGTATAAGAATAAAAGAATAAAATGAACAAAAAAAGGGGGGGGGGCCTATGTACATATTTACAATTTCAGGTTTGCCATATTCATATATTTAGCTACTGGATTCATTTTTATTTAAACCTTCCGGAGATGTCTAGAAATCTATGGACTTGTTCAAAGATAATACTTGAAATAATAATATCGTCAGTGCCTTTTAATAATGTCTGTATTGAAATCACGTTTTGGGGTAAGGTAAAAATTGAATGTTTACGTGCATCGCGATGTAGAGGACAGGTTTTAACCACGAGAGCACCATGCAGAAATTGAAAAAAACGATAACCCGGGGGGTCAGCAAATTTCAACCATACTTGGTCTATTGGGACCCCTAGACGACAGAAGTCACATGATGGAGTGAAAAAATTTTGAACTGACAACTTCCGGTATAACTGGAAATTGTTGTTTTGGGGCAAAAGTTGACATATTTCGACCAATTTGTTACCCTAATTTCAAAACGCTCCTACCCGAAAAGTTGTGTCTCTAAATTTTTGATATTGGTCAGGTATGATAGGCCTAGTAGTCGTCTTAAAATCCTGCAGTCGTTTGGGAATGAATGAATCATGTGAATTTTCTGTGAGTGATCATAAAGTGGTCATTTTACATATGTTTAAAACTATGCTATCCTAAAACGCATGTAGCTGCTTCTGAAGGGCACTCCAGGATAATGTTGACAGCATGTGCCAAACTCCTACATATACCTACGTTCGAGCAGAAGTGCTCACTTACTTAGATTCCTACGTTCGAGTGTAAATGCTCTCTGACCTTCCTTCAAGGTTTTTGGACCACAGAGTATTGTTTTATTTTGTAGTACTGTTTTTGACCTCTTCTCCTTCAGGGATTTCAATATGGAATTATCATAGCCTCCCGATCTGTAATGCCTCTCTATGAAAACGTCCAAATGTTTCCATACAATGATCGGCTCCTAAATACAGATGGGAATAAGCTGGTCTGATTCCTAAAATATGTTTGACCAAAATAACCTATTTGGCACAAGGAACATTGGCAGAAAAGGTGTTGTATGGTCGTCTTGCTGATTGTGTGACTACGACTTACTGTCACTGGATCATCTACAATCCCCTCGTCCTTAAAACCTGTTACAAGTACATCCCTCAGAAACACTTCTTTTACCCAAGAGCTAAAATATGCTTACACTGAATCGTGTATCATATTTCACCTTTCATTATATCATATTTATAGAAGACGATTTGTTCTGTTTAAATTGCATTGGACATTCATGAAACTTGTCGCTGGTCTAACACTTAGACTTTAGATCCTAAGGTCTGTCATTGAGTTAAGTGGTGTGACAGCATGCCGGTGACATGGTGTGGTGTTGTTTGTTCAACCTCATGGATATTCTCTTTTCCCACAAGTGTATTATTGAAGTGAAATTGTACCATATGTTAGTCCCAAAATGACCTAGTTTGTGTTGAGTGGACCTTAAACTCCATTTCTCTCTCTTAAGTCAAAATCACCCTTGCTAACGAATATATTAACTTTGTGATGATGTCCATAGATACAGTATGCATCACCATATTATGCTCGTCCCAAAATGACCTAGTTTGTGTCCAGTGGACTTTAAATCTCATTTTACTTTGTTCCTCTCATGTCTAAATCATCCTTGCTAACGACTAAATGGAATGAAGACGGGCATACGCCAGAGTGCTATGAGGGAAATTTTACGTGCATTCCAATGTATACACGAGACCTCGGTTTTTCGTCTCATCCGAAGGACTAGACAGTAGTCCTTGTCAGGCCCTCCGTTCTGCACCACTGACAAGGGGAAACCACGTCGGAAAATCAGGATGAACTTTCTCGGCCAATGCAGGGATCGAACACCCGACCTCCAGGCTAGCGAGCCAGCGTCTTAACCACCTAGCCACCGTGGCCCCTTTAATGATTATAGCAGATTCTGTACTCAAATACATGTAATATAATTTGTTGAAGTCACTTGGTCAACTCGCAAACTATAATTAACAACCAATTTACTCTCTTGAAACTTTTTTGGTCATTAGCTGAATTTTAAATTCTAAAATTCAGTGTATAGCCTTATAACAACTTGAATTACGGTATATGTTAGTATTAACAAGAAACTGAAGAGAATGGCGCTGTCTTTTCACAGATTCGATTAAAGGCAAAAAGATAAGTATAATACTTTATCACTTCTTTACAATAATATTAAATTACATAAGATTTATGCGATTTTGTTATTTACTTAAAGATAGGTTCCCAGAAAAGTATTTATCAGGTGGTTATTTCCAATAAAAGTATGACAATTTTGGTATATATGGAAAGTAGAGGTATCCAATCTTACTAGAAAAATACTGGATTCCCCGAAAAATACTCATGAAGCGTATACAGGACAAAAATGTCAGGGTTCCTCATATCGACAGTCCGACGATTAGGAATGTCTGCTCGCGTGACGTCAGAGGTTACACGCGGAGATTGAGCCCTTGATGTACATGTTGATAAACTTTATGAAGAGTTAGACGTACAACACTTTCTGAGATAAAAATCACGGAAAAAGACGCAGGCAGTGGATAATCCGAGAATTTAATTAGGTTTTTATATTTGTAATAAATAGTCAGCGATTAAAGACAACATCGTCTTGTGTATGCAATGCATTTACTATTTTAGTGTATACGTGTAGTCAGTGCCGGACTGGGGCCACCTGTCCACCTGTCCGTGACAGGTGGGCCTAAGCTCATTAAAAAAAAAGTGGGCCTAAGCCTATAAACAAAAAAGAAAAAAGAGAAAGAAAGGAGAGGGGGGAGAAAAGAAAGAAAGAAGGAGCGGGCAGGACACAGGACTGGAGAAAGAAAAGATAGGAAAAAAATGACTGACAAACAACACAAAAAAAGAAGTGTACTAGAATTCTCAAATTCATCTAATGATAGTGCTCTTAGGTCATTCTGTTATCTAATTGTACCAGGAAATCAAAAATTTGCCTTCTTCTGCTTTGGTCTGAAATGCTTGGAAAATGGGTTTGCGGTTGACAATTTTCAAACCTTTTCTGGGAGAAGAAGCCACCCAGACCCCCCTCGGACGTTTTCGCGCCTTTAGCACGCTCGTGACGCGCCGTCGGCACGTACTTGTGTGGGTCTTGGTCAATGACCTGACAGAGTCCAGCTGTGCATGTAGTTAAGACCATGCCTTCCACTTTGGAATGGTGAATGACTCATGTCTTATGTGCCTTACTACTGGAATGACCCCCTGTTAGCCCTGTACTGAAGTCAAAGGGCATTCCCGAACTTAGGGTACTTCCACTGAACTCAGTGGCATGTCTGGAATTTTATGCTTATTCTGATAGGCGACGGCCAAGGTTTGGATATCTTGAGAATTTTCACTTGGTTTCCGGCTCTGGGTACACCATATATTAAACCTTTCGATAGTTGGAGATTTCTGCAATGGTTTTGTGTAATATCATTAAGAATCGAATGATTTTTCAATGATCAATAAAGGATGGGCAGGGATGGATTTAATTTATTCTCTATGACATGAATGATACATTAAACCATGTAAAATAGACATGCGCATTCTTTTCTTTGTTTTGTAATCAATCGAATACCCACCAGAAATATTAGCCAATCACAGTGCAGGCTTGTATAGCGAACACATAGGTAGCTGATTCTTTACAGGTGATCTGAATTATGGAACGTCAAACTAACATAAAATCAATTCACTGCCAATGGGTCCCGTCAATTAAATGAATATTTGTAAATTTGTCGTTCCATACAGCTAGAGACGCCGATTCGAACAACCCAGTCGCCTGGTAACCGTGGTGAGTACTTTTCAGATACAAACTTAAGAAAGCAAACATCCCCCAACCGTCCTTCAATTTGAAATTGAGCGGCCAAGTGAAAGCATCTATTCACATTAGCCAAATATAGGATACGTCTCTCATCTCAAACAGGTTAGTAAACTTTTAATTTTCATTTTAAAATTTTATTCAGATAGGCTGGTATATTAACAAGTCCATAGAACAGTAGAACTTTAAACCCCCATTTAAACAGTCGATCAATATTTGTACGTGACAGAAGTAGGGTATGTCGAACCGAGTGGGTTTTCTCTTAGTCATTCGGTTTCTTTCCATTGGTAAAGACACGTACGTTCAGATAGGCTGGTATATTATTAACAAGTCGACAGAACAGTAGGACTTTAAACCCTCTATTTAAACAGTCGATTAATATTTTTACGTGACAGGAGTAGGGTATGTCCTTGGTTTTTTTCCATTGCTAAAGATACCTACGTACAATATACCACATGTTAGTCCCGAAATTACCTAGTTCGTGTTGAGTAGATGTTAAAATAGTGTCGTGTTTTATTTGCATTAAACTGGACCTACAAAATGGCGCAAAATTCTTCATTGTATTACCAATAGCATATGCGCAGTATGTTAGTCTCATAATTGTCTCTGTTTTTTTTTTATCAAGCAACAGTTTCTCAATGTAGAATTTGAATACCCGGAAAGGAATAGTGTGAGACGGCCTAGGTTTACAAACTATATGCATTGTTCATTATTATTACAGACATATCTCCTGTTATCGGTCGGACGATGGCGGCGTGGTAGTTCTTCTTTGGGTAAGCTACCTTTTACTTTTAAATAAACGATCTTCACCATATTACAATATTTTCGTCAAACTACATAGAATAGTTTCCGTCCTATATCGGACTAATATGACCTATGAGACAGGGGTAGTCCAATGTTACGGACATATTCGTATGTGTAATCCTTCAACACCAATGAATTTGTCAATCGATGCGCATATTGATTTGAGTTTAGGAAAAAAGAGTTAACATTAATTTAATTCATGGGTTTTTTTTAATTTTCAGATTGCACTAAAGGAGACAAGAAGTTTATGGTATCATAGAGAGGTCCACACACGTTATTATTTATCTTATACTGGATCTGTCTTTATATTCTGGCTGGTTGATGTGTATAAGCTTGGCTTGTGCACCAGATTCCTTTGTAAATATCATGTGAAGTTTTCCATGATGTATTAATAGGTTTTTTTTGGTTGAAAGTTGTAGACATGGGGAGTAATTAAATTGGGATATATTAATATGGCATCAATCAACTAATCCCACATCTCCTTTAGGCAACTAATATTTTGTTTTTGGGGTTCTTCTTTTGTTTGTTTTTTTTTGCATGTTTTTCACTGCATTTGCTTAAGTAAGGGGTGCTATATTTAATATATTCTGATATTTGGTTTATCTTAGATTTTTAATGCCCTTAATGTATATTGCAAATTTCTCATGAGAGTCCAGTAAAGATAATCTTGTATAACGTGTTTCTATGATAAACTTAGATGTATTGTTGATAGTGGGGTCTAGAGAGTTTACGGATACAGGTGAGTTATGCATCACCACTTTATAGATTTTAATATTTTTTGGTATGACAATAGACAAATGTAAAACGTGCTGTCTTTTTTATTAGTCCATAAACTGATTGCATTTTACAGGATTTTTATTGTAAGTTTGATGAAAAAAATAAATAAAGGGTCCAGAAAGATCTAACTAAACATAAATATAATTTTTTTCTTAAAAAATAGTGACGGCGCCGGTTAAAGTACATAAACTGAGATTAGATGTACAATACTTAATAATCCTTCACTAATTTACAGGATCGTGGGGATATGTTTGTAAGGGACGTATGAAGACGGTGATAGTTGTGGATGAGCAGGACACACAGCATATTATACATGGAGGTATTATTGTACAGACAATTGTTATGCAATCGATGAGGTAAGCATTAATATCAATATTTTCTGTATTTCTAAAACAAAGTCGGAAGTGTTATTACTGTAATACAAAATTTCAAACATTATTTATGAGTTTTATTTAGAACATAAAATGTCGTTTAATGTAACACGATGAACCGAAATAGTAGTGGTTATTCATAGGAATTTCACGAATGAGGGTAGCTGATTGTGTTAGACCATTCCATTTCACTTCTTATCTGGAGTTCAAATATATATTTATACGTCTCGAATAATTCACTGTTTTCCTTATTTTAAAACATTAAAAAAAAATATACATACTTGTTAATTACAACTTCTCTAGTTCATGTAGGCAACAAGTTTGTCCTTGGCTGTTGATATATAATGGTATATTTTACAGGACCACAACAATGTTAAGACGCCGAATGATCAATATGACGATTACCACTGGTATAGGAGAACAGACAGGGTAGGTATTAATACCAAACTTTACTTATTTCTAAATTATCCCTAAAATTTATAAATACATGTAATTCAAATTAAACTCCATGTGATATGCTTAATTACATAATATGGTGGCCATTGAATCAAATTATACATATTGACTGTTGAGACATTCCTGGAAATAGAACTTACGCCTTCAAAACTGTGACATTTCAACAACGTATCACTTGGTCATCTTAAAGTTGCAATTTCATATTTTTGAGTTATATTTTTAAAATCTATTAAAATAAAGCCTGAAAATAGATGGTATCTATAAACAGTCCTACCTTGTTAAAGAATAATCCTATTAATTCTATAGGAGCCACGGTGGCTAGGTGGTTAAGACGCTGGCTCGCTAGCCTGGAGGTCGGGTGTTCGATCCCTGCATTGGCCGAGAAAGTTCATTTGGATTTTCCGACGTGTTTTCCCCTTATCAGAACGGAGGGCCTGACAAGGACAGCTGTCTAGTCCTTCGGATGAGACGAAAAACCGAGGTCCCGTGTATACATTAGAATGCACGTAAAAGATCCCTTGGCAGTTGGAATTCGATATAAGAGTAGGCGATAGTGCCGCTGCCCGGGCACAATTTCCCGCATAGCACACTGTATGGAGTATGCCCGTCTTCATTAGCCCAGTATAGGAGTAGGACGTTAAACCCCATTTTATTTCTATTAATCCTATAATTCACTATTGCCAGTTGAGAAATTGGCAAAAATATCATTTTCATCTTCAAATTCAAACGTTTGAAGATAACTACTCCATGGTGGAGAATAGAAAACAAGGGAGGTAATTGTGTTATTATTTCCGGTGTAAATGAGTTTAAAGTGTGAGAATGACACCTATGATCGTATAATAGTGAGTTGACAACCTATTGAGCAAAGGACATAGAAATAATTATGTTTTGACTTTCTTAGAAAATATGAAATTGTAACTTTAAGTGTTGAATAGTGGTTCTTAGATGAATTTACTGTATCGGTTTACTTTGAACAAATCATACTTCAGCTGCAAGCTGAGATTTTCTAGTCGCAAAACAATACCGCATGAAGTTAGGAAACGTTCGTTCGTAGTTTTTGAAAACGTTTCAGATTTACTGAAATATTAATCGTGTTGTACAGATGGGCAAATTTTCAACTACGTCCTTTTTTTAAACGATATTATTCATATGGACAATTTAATTGTCATAGTTTACCTTTTTTTCCAGCTGTGATTTGGATGGATGTCAAGCGGCAGTTTATGGTACCGGGAACTCGACTGGGAAATGGAAGTTGCATAGGGAAATTCTAGATTGGCAATAACAGGTTTATGTTTTTTCTGTATGTATTGTATATATTTTCTAAATTTTCATGGGTCCGTCTGATAGGTACAGTAAAGGACATTCTGTTGACTAGTTTGAAACACATCTTAAAATGGGGACCCCTTGGAAACACTGACTTTTAGTTAGGCTTGAGGTGTAAAACTACTTAAGGGACCGAGTCTATCTGTTATGTCTAGGGTAACATGTCATAACTTCAACAACAACGATCACACCGAAGATGTTTACCTCTATCGGGAGAAAACACACCGACGGTCAGATGGGACGGACAGTTTCTTCATACATACAGAAAATAAACACCATAACTTCATCAACAAAGATCACACCGAATATGTTTATCTCTATCGGGAGAAAACACCGACGGTCAGATGAGACGGACAGTTTCTTCATACATACACAAAATAAACACCATAACTTCAACAACAAAGATCACACCGAATATGTTTACCTCTATCGGGAGAAAACACACCGACGACCAGATGGGACGGACAGTTTCTTCATACATACACAAAATAAACACCATAACTTCAACAAAGATCACACCGAATATGTTTGTCTCTATCGAGAGAAAACACACCGACTGTCAGATGGGACGAACAGTTTCTTCTATATCCCGAAAACACAACATAAACAGATACTTCACTAGTCTACAGACACAACATAAGTTTCTTCACTAGTCTACAGACACTACAGACACAAAAGTTTCTTCACTATTCTACATACACAAAGATTCGGGGTTCCTTGCAGCCAGGTGGCGAGACCTGTGCTTGAGGTTATTGTCTGGAGATTAGAAATGGTGGTAATGGTTGTAGGCTGCAGACGTACCATTACTTCTTAGAACATGTACACAACTACATTCAGTCCAATTTAGGACTTCCGTTCTTTTCGAATTGTGATCACCACACAATTATAAGACAGACCATAACGCAAGGGTTATGACATTGTTAATCTTAACACGATTCTGGATGAAATATATTACAAACTTCTGTCTCCTACGAAGTTTTCCGTTTTCCGTCGATTCTGGTGTGCACACCCCATTCATTGGCCTTCGACGGGGGCAGTTATCTTTGAAGACTTGAAATTGGCCACCCAGTTATCTCTAATAGTTAGTTTACTGTTATATCTTATAGCTATATAGGCAGTTCGCTTCGTTTCTCTAGAACATTACATTTGGGCTTGTTTCATCATGTAGAGTTTAAACCGATATCTTCACTAAAAGTCTATCAAATCACTTCTCTATGTAAAGGTGTGTCCAAGACTGGTTAGCAGGTGTTCCTTTACTGTAACATTTTGATTCACAAATTGATGGGGTTCGTTTGCAATTTGGATTTAACTATTGTTATATATCACCAACGGTCATCAATTTATCTAAATAAGCTTGTTATTGCCATCAATTTATCTAAATAAGCTTGTTATTTCCATCAATTTATCTAAATAAGCTTGTTATTGCCAAACTAGTATTTTTCTAATGAAGTCGTCTACAGATGTCTACTGTTATTATTGTTTATTTATATGATATTCATGATTATGTTTATTTACAATGTAAGGTCAGTAGTGAGTAAACACTTCCAGTTGATCAGAGCACTTGGGAAAATCCTACCTCCCCCTTCCTAAATGGGAGTTAGGGTTGGGTAGCCGGCTCGCAATACTGACCATTGATGTTAGAAACGCTTACAAAGATCAGAATATTTAGTTTTGGGTAACATTATACTTTATAAGTACATATGAGGTCAACATTCAAAATTTTTCATTGTCTATAATGTGTATTGTGTTTGTCGTTGGTAACTCAATCCGCCATTTTAAATAACCATTTCAAAAATACAATTTTTTTCGAGGGGTGGAGAGGTTACTTTTCCATATTTTTAATCAAATATCTTATGATACTAACTTTTTATACATTTTGGAAACATTATTTAATTTTTATGCTCCCATATTTTCAGGCCAAAGGTTAAAATTCTATTTTTCACTTTCTAAACTTGGAACATAAAACTTGATGGGTTTTTAAATGAGGTCAAATAACGATTATTTCAAACTTGGACACACCAATATGATTTTGTGTTTGGGAGGGAGGGGAGGAAAGGGATGTTATGTCAGACCCATAAGATGTTTTAATTTATATTTATATTTCACTGATATTACTCTTGGGACAATATCATCGACATATGATTTTTCTTTATTATCATAATGATTATCTTATGTTAAATTAATACACATTATAAAGGTTGTTATTTTGTACCCCCATATTAAACATTATTTATGCCTGTAGATCTGTGATGCTACATGTCAAACTTCTAAATTTTCCATTTTTTAAAACTTGGAACAAACCTTTATGGGAATTTGAACGGGGTAAAAATATTTCGAAAGTTTCGGCATACCAAAATGATGTGAGGGTGGTGGGTGGATCGTGACCGCCAGATCGTCATGCTATAGGTCAACATTCTAAATTTTCTTTTTTTTCCTAAACTTGGAACATAAACCTTTATGGGAATTAGAACGGGTCAAAATTATTTCGAAATTTTCGACATACCAACATGTAGTAGTGGGTGCGGGGTGGTTATGTTTTTAGGAGCAACCGCATTTCATAGCTTTTAAAATATTGTTTAATATGGACCAATTGATAATTTATCAGTTAAAAGAGATTATATTATTGTATTGTTTGTTAATTAATTAAATACTGATAGATGTACTTAAAAATCATTTACAAATAAAATATTTCACCATCACTGTGGTTTGGATCTGATAGGGTGGGGGAACACTAGCCTTGTAATTTTGCTGTGAAATGTTGAACAAGCCGGCGGTAGATGAAAAACTGAGCTGCAGAATAAGCTTGTGAAATCAATGTTCAGGGAAGTGACGATTATCATGGAAGAAACATGATTCTTATTAATTTGAGATAACAATTTCACAGATAACAAGGTTTTAGTTTTGGAGTATAGCACATTTAATGTAAAGAACGAGAGTTGTTTTAACTTGGATCCTTCCAGCTGCAAAGTGTTCCATTTTAATCCACCCGAACTAGGCATATCTCTATATCGGCCCCTCAGATGCCCCTCTGCCCAATTTGTTGCACTATTTCATGGCTGTTCTGATGAAGACATTGTTACATCTATTGCACGAAAAAACGTCGGGTTAATCAACGAAAATTAATGTAAGAGAGAAGTGGGGTTTTAACGTCCACTCACACGGATCAGGTCAGTTCATGACTAACGTGGTTTTGGTTATTCTCATTTGATCATAAGGTCTGTCATTTAAGTCAACTGTTGCGGTATTGATTTCCCGCTTGTGTATGACAAGGGGTAGGTTGCCTGTCCAACCTCATGGGTTTTCTACGGGTCATCCGGTTTCCTCCCACTGCTAAAAATCCATAAGCGCAAGCGAATTATTGAAATAAAATTGAACCATGTGTTTGTCTCGAAATTACCTAGTTTGTGTCAAGTGTACTGTTAAACCCCATTTCTCTCTTCCTACTGTTAAAGACCCTATGTGAACGCTCTAATGACAAAACTTATCATCCGATCTGTATGAAATTTTTATGCATTATTTAATTTAGTGAAATGAAGAATCCTATTGAATTTCAGCAATTTCTGTTAATTATGTCTAAGAGTTATGGCCCTTGATCACTTTGAAATATCTTGTGGATGCTCTAGACGAAGAAACCTATTGCTTTTCAATGATTTCGATAATTACTGCCAGAGTTATGGCCCTTGATCACTTTGAAAAATCGTGTGGATACTTTAGAGACCATAGTTATCATAATATATATATATATATATATATATATATATATATATATATATATATAAATTGTTTCGATTGATCCACAGAGTTTAAGGTCTTGAGACGAACAAGTATATTGATTTTCAATGATTTTTGGTAACTTGAACAGCTAAATCCATGGTATTAAATGTTTTGTATACTAAATGTTAGCCGTATGTTTCGTTGCCTGGCAACCTACCTAGGCCTATATTACCTCTTTCCTATACGACAGAAAATATATACAAAAAGACTATATAACCATGTTATGATAAAATCTATCTAAATAGTATAAGAATAAAAGAATAAAATGAACAAAAAAAAGGGGGGGGGGGCCTATGTACATATTTACAATTTCAGGTTTGCCATATTCATATATTTAGCTACTGGATTCATTTTTATTTAAACCTTCCGGAGATGTCTAGAAATCTATGGACTTGTTCAAAGATAATACTTGAAATAATAATACCGTCAGTGCCTTTTAATAATGTCTGTATTGAAATCACGTTTTGGGGTAAGGTAAAAATTGAATGTTTACGTGCATCGCGATGTAGAGGACAGGTTTTAACCACGAGAGCACCATGCAGAAATTGAAAAAAACGATAACCCGGGGGTTCAGCAAATTTCAACCATACTTGGTCTATGGGGACCCCTAGACGACAGAAGTCACATGATGGAGTGAAAAGATTTTGAACTGACAACTTCCGGTATAACTGGAAATTGTTGTTTTGGGGCAAAAGTTGACATATTTCGACCAATTTGTTACCCTAATTTCAAAACGCTCCTACCCGAAAAGTTGTGTCTCTAAATTTTTGATATTGGTCAGGTATGATAGGCCTAGTAGTCGTCTTAAAATCCTGCAGTCGTTTGGGAATGAATGAATCATGTGGAATTTTCTGTGAGTGATCATAAAGTGGTCATTTTACATATGTTTAAAACTATGCTATCCTAAAACGCATGTAGCTGCTTCTTTGCAGGTCTGACATAGAATTGCTTGGTGTGGTTGTGAAGGGCATTTCTCAAAGTAAATGTCAAAAGAAAAAAACTGACCGGAACGCAACGCAACCCACTAGAGTGCTGTAATATTCTGAAAATGTGTAAAAACGGTATTTTCCACGAAATTCGTCTTTTCACTAATGACCGAATACTATTTTCAAGAGTTCATCGCGGTCATCGTAGGAAAGGGGCTTAACTGGTGTATAATTTTGCAGGATCAGGCAACGATTATTCTCACCTGTATTCAGTAGTTAGTAGCACGGAAGTGCATAAATGTAAGGACTGGCATAGCAAGCTTTTATATTAGCACAATTTAACCTAAGCAGCACCTTTTCAGCAATGACCAACGATTATCTTCAAATGACTACTGATCATCACCATTACTTGTTATATTTCGTAATTTCAACGTGAATCGTGTCAAATAGATCATTTTGTTTAAAATCATAATATTTTTGTGACAAAATCTGACTTTCACGCTTGCTTGATAGCCATAGGGAAGGGTCAAAAGTGGTGTGTAATTTTGCAGGGATCAGACCACTGTTATTAAGATCGGTATTCATGAGCAGATCATCGTATAAATTTGACTGACATGACTATCATAAACATGATATCTTTTAATTTGTACACCTGCTCATGTAAAGAAGAACCATAAGAAGAAACATTCAGAAGTGTTCATGTAGGTACATTTAATGTCTGGTATTGAAATCTCTGAATCATGGCATAGATCAAAACAGGATTTATGGCACTCCAGGATAATGTTGACAGCATGTGCCAAACTCCTACATATACCTACGTTCGAGCAGAAGTGCTCACTTACTTAGATTCCTACGTTCGAGTGTAAATGCTCTCTGACCTTCCTTCAAGGTTTTTGGACCACAGAGTACTGTTTTATTTTGTAGTACTGTTTTTGACCTCTTCTCCTTCAGGGATTTCAATATGGAATTATCATAGCCTCCCGATCTGTAATGCCTCTCTATGAAAACGTCCAAATGTTTCCATACAATGATCGGCTCCTAAATACAGATGGGAATAAGCTGGTCTGATTCCTAAAATATGTTTGACCAAAATAACCTATTTGGCACAAGGAACATTGGCAGAAAAGGTGTTGTATGGTCGTCTTGCTGATTGTGTGACTACGACTTACTGTCACTGGATCATCTACAATCCCCTCGTCCTTAAAACCTGTTACAAGTATATCCCTCAGAAACACTTCTTTTACCCAAGAGCTAAAATATGCTTACACTGAATCGTGTATCATATTTCACCTTTCATTATATCATATTTATAGAAGACGATTTCTTCTGTTTAAATTGCATTGGACATTCATGAAACTTGTCGCTGGTCTAACACATAGACTTTAGATCCTAAGGTCTGTCATTGAGTTAAGTGGTGTGACAGCATGCTGGTGACATGGTGTGGTGTTGTTTGTTCAACCTCATGGATATTCTCTTTTCCCACAAGTGTATTATTGAAGTGAAATTGTACCATATGTTAGTCCCAAAATGACCTAGTTTGTGTTGAGTGGACCTTAAACTCCATTTCTCTCTCTTAAGTCAAAATCACCCTTGCTAACGAATATATTAACTTTGTGATGATGTCCATAGATACAGTATGCATCACCATATTATGCTAGTCCCAAAATGACCTAGTTTGTGTCCAGTGGACTTTAAATCTCATTTTACTTTGTTCCTCTCATGTGTAAATCATCCTTGCTAACGACTAAATGGAATATATTAAATTTGTAAAGATGTCCACACATATACTTCATCTGGGGTATTGATAGACGGGACATTTTATCCTAATTTTTGGTGTTTTTAATATATTTCTCCTGTTTTTATTATGACTGTTCCGGTCATTTTTATTTTTTATTTTGTTAGTATTAAGGTTGCTAGTTGTGGGTAACATTCAACTTCGGTCCTAGTCCCTGCAAAGAACGAGCTATAGTCTGTACTCAAATACATGTAATATAATTTGTTGAAATCACTTGGTCAACTCGCAAACTATAATTAACAACCAATTTACTCTCTTGAAACTTTTTTGGTCATTAGCTGAATTTTAAATTCTAAAATTCAGTGTATAGCCTTATAACAACTTGAATTACGGTATATGTTAGTATTAACAAGAAACTGAAGAGAATGGCGCTGTCTTTTCACAGATTCGATTAAAGGCAAAAAGATAAGTATAATACTTTATCACTTCTTTACAATAATATTAAATTACATAAGATTTATGCGATTTTGTTATTTACTTAAAGATAGGTTCCCAGAAAAGTATTTATCAGGTGGTTATTTCCAATAAAAGTATGACAATTTTGGTATATATGGAAAGTAGAGGTATCCAATCTTACTAGAAAAATACTGGATTCCCCGAAAAATACTCATGAAGCGTATACAGGACAAAAATGTCAGGGTTCCCCATATCGACAGTCCGACGATTAGGAATATCTGCACGCATGACGTCAGAGGTTACACGCGGTGATTGAGCCCTTGATGTACATGTTGATAAACTTTATGAAGAGTTAGACGTACAACACTTTCTGAGATAAAAATCACTGAAAAAGACGCAGGCAGTGGATAATCCGAGAATTTAATTAGGTTTTTATATTTGTAATAAATAGTCAGCGATTAAAGACAACATCGTCTTGTGTATGCAATGCATTTACTATTTTAGTGTATACGTGTAGTCAGTGCCGGACTGGGGCCACCTGTCCACCTGTCCGTGACAGGTGGGCCTAAGCTCATTAAAAAAAAGTGGGCCTAAGCCTATAAACAAAAAAGAAAAAAGAGAAAGAAAGGAGAGGGGGGAGAAAAGAAAGAAAGAAGGAGCGGGCAGGACACAGGACTGGAGAAAGAAAAGATTGGAAAAAAATGACTGACAAACAACACAAAAAAAGAAGTGTACTAGAATTCTCAAATTCATCTAATGATAGTGCTCTTAGGTCATTCTGTTATCTAATTGTACCAGGAAATCAAAAATTTGCCTTCTTCTGCTTTGGTCTGAAATGCTTGGAAAATGGGTTTGCGGTTGACAATTTTCAAACCTTTTCTGGGAGAAGAAGCCACCCAGACCCCCCTCGGACGTTTTCGCGCCTTTGGCACGCTCGTGACGCGCCGTCGGCGCGTACTTGTGTGGGTTTTGGTCAATGACCTGACAGAGTCCAGCAGTGCATGTAGTTAAGACCATGCCTTCCACTTTGGAATGGTGAATGACTCATGTCTTATGTGCCTTACTACTGGAATGACCCCTGTTAACCCTGTACTGAAGTCAAAGGGCATTCCCGAACTTAGGGTACTTCCACTGAACTCAGTGGCATGTCTGGAATTTTATGCTTATTCTGATAGGCGACGGCCAAGGTTTGGATATCTTGAGAATTTTCACTTGGTTTCCGGCTCTGGGTACACCATATATTAAACCTTTCGATAGTTGGAGATTTCTGCAATGGTTTTGAGTAATATCATTAAGAATCGAATGATTTTTCAATGATCAATAAAGGATGGGCAGGGATGGATTTAATTTATTCTCTATGACATGAATGATACATTAAACCATGTAAAATAGACATGCGCATTCTTTTCTTTGTTTTGTAATCAATCGAATACCCACCAGAAATATTAGCCAATCACAGTGCAGGCTTGTATAGCGAACACATAGGTACCTGATTCTTTACAGGTGATCTGAATTATGGAACGCCAAACTAACATAAAATCAATTCACTGCCAATGGGTCCCGTCAATTAAATGAATATTTGTAAATTTGTCGTTCCATACAGCTAGAGACGCCGATTCGAACAACCCAGTCGCCTGGTAACCGTGGTGAGTACTTTTCAGATACAAACTTAAGAAAGCAAACATCCCCCAACCGTCCTTCAATTTGAAATTGAGCGGCCAAGTGAAAGCATCTATTCACATTAGCCAAATATAGGATACGTCTCTCATCTCAAACAGGTTAGTAAACTTTTAATTTTCATTTTAAAATTTTATTCAGATAGGCTGGTATATTAACAAGTCCATAGAACAGTAGAACTTTAAACCCCCATTTAAACAGTCGATCAATATTTGTACGTGACAGAAGTAGGGTATGTCGAACCGAGTGGGTTTTCTCTTAGTCATTCGGTTTCTTTCCATTGGTAAAGACACGTACGTTCAGATAGGCTGGTATATTATTAACAAGTCGACAGAACAGTAGGACTTTAAACCCTCCATTTAAACAGTCGATTAATATTTTTACGTGACAGGAGTAGGGTATGTCCTTGGTTTTTTTCCATTGCTAAAGATACCTACGTACAATATACCACATGTTAGTCCCGAAATTACCTAGTTCGTGTTGAGTAGACGTTAAAATAGTGTCGTGTTTTATTTGCATTAAACTGAACCTACAAAATGGCGCAAAATTCTTCATTGTATTACCAATAGCATATGCGCAGTATGTTAGTCTCATAATTGTCTCTGGGTTTTTTTTATCAAGCAACAGTTTCTCAATGTAGAATTTGAATACCCGGAAAGGAATAGTGTGAGACGGCCTAGGTTTACAAACTATATGCATTGTTCATTATTAAAGGGGAAGTGTCAGCGTTCACCAGGTATACAAATCAAGGGACAAAATGTGAAGAATTTTCTGATATATAGCCCACCTCACATGAATAATGAAAGTTTGTATTTCTTTGGCATAGCATCATAAAATTTTAGATTGTCGAATAGGCCAAGGTTAGAGTCTTTCACGCAGAGTTAACCAGTTTATTTACTTTCATATTTCTATTACATATTACAGACATATCTCCTGTTATCGGTCGGACGATGGCGGCGTGGTAGTTCTTCTTTGGGTAAGCTACCTTTTACTTTTAAATAAACGATCTTCACCATATTACAATATTTTCGTCAAACTACATAGAATAGTTTCCGTCCTATATCGGACTAATATGACCTATGAGACAGGGGTAGTCCAATGTTACGGACATATTCGTATGTGTAATCCTTCAACACCAATGAATTTGTCAATCGATGCGCATATTGATTTGAGTTTAGGAAAAAAGAGTTAACATTAATTTAATTCATGGGGTTTTTTTTATTTTCAGATTGCACTAAAGGAGACAAGAAGTTTATGGTATCATAGAGAGGTCCACACACGTTATTATTTATCTTATACTGGGTCTGTCTTTATATTCTGGCTGGTTGATGTGTATAAGCTTGGCTTGTGCACCAGATTCCTTTGTAAATATCATGTGAAGTTTTCCATGATGTATTAATAGGTTTTTTTTGGTTGAAAGTTGTAGACATGGGGAGTAATTAAATTGGGATATATTAATATGGCATCAATCAACTAATCCCACATCTCCTTTAGGCAACTAATATTTTCTTTTTGGGGTTCTTCTTTTGTTTGTTTTTTTTTGCATGTTTTTCACTGCATTTGCTTAAGTAAGGGGTGCTATATTTAATATATTCTGATATTTGGTTTATCTTAGATTTTTAATGCCCTTAATGTATATTGCAAATTTCTCATGAGAGTCCAGTAAAGATAATCTTGTATAACGTGTTTCTATGATAAACTTAGATGTATTGTTGATAGTGGGGTCTAGAGAGTTTACGGATACAGGTGAGTTATGCATCACCACTTTATAGATTTTAATATTTTTTGGTATGACAATAGACAAATGTAAAACGTGCTGTCTTTTTTATTAGTCCATAAACTGATTGCATTTTACAGGATTTTTATTGTAAGTTTGATGAAAAAAATAAATAAAGGGTCCAGAAAGATCTAACTAAACATAAATATAATTTTTTTCTTAAAAAATAGTGACGGCGCAGGTTAAAGTACATAAACTGAGATTAGATGTACAATACTTAATAATCCTTCACTAATTTACAGGATCGTGGGGATATGTTTGTAAGGGACGTATGAAGACGGTGATAGTTGTGGATGAGCAGGACACACAGCATATTATACATGGAGGTATTATTGTACAGACAATTGTTATGCAATCGATGAGGAAAGCATTAATATCAATATTTTCTGTATTTCTAAAACAAAGTCGGAAGTGTTATTACTGTAATACAAAATTTCAAACATTATTTATGAGTTTTATTTAGAACATAAAATGTCGTTTAATGTAACACGATGAACCGAAATAGTAGTGGTTATTCACAGGAATTTCACGAATGAGGGTAGCTGATTGTGTTAGACCATTCCATTTCACTTCTTATCTGGAGTTCAAATATATATTTATACGTCTCGAATAATTCACTGTTTTCCTTATTTTAAAACATTAAAAAAATATACATACTTGTTAATTACAACTTCTCTAGTTCATGTAGGCAACAAGTTTGTCCTTGGCTGTTGATATATAATGGTATATTTTACAGGACCACAACAATGTTAAGACGCCGAATGATCAATATGACGATTACCACTGGTATAGGAGAACAGACAGGGTAGGTATTAATACCAAACTTTACTTATTTCTAAATTATCCCTAAAATTTATAAATACATGTAATTCAAATTAAACTCCATGTGATATGCTTAATTACATAATATGATGGCCATTGAATCAAATTATACATATTGACTGTTGAGACATTCCTGGAAATAGAACTTACGCCTTCAAAACTGTGACATTTCAACAACGTATCACTTGGTCATCTTAAAGTTGCAATTTCATATTTTTGAGTTATATTTTTAAAATCTATTAAAATAAAGCCTGAAAATAGATGGTATCTATAAACAGTCCTACCTTGTTAAAGAATAATCCTATTAATTCTACAGGGGCCACGGTGGCTAGGTGGTTAAGACGCTGGCTCGCTAGCCTGGAGGTCGGGTGTTCGATCCCTGCATTGGCCGAGAAAGTTCATTTGGATTTTCCGACGTGTTTTCCCCTTATCAGAACGGAGGGCCTGACAAGGACAGCTGTCTAGTCCTTCGGATGAGACGAAAAACCGAGGTCCCGTGTATACATTAGAATGCACGTAAAAGATCCCTTGGCAGTTGGAATTCGATATAAGAGTAGGCGATAGTGCCGCTGCCCGGGCACAATTTCCCACATAGCACACTGTATGGCGTATGCCCGTCTTCATTAGCCCAGTATAGGAGTAGGACGTTAAACCCCATTTTATTTCTATTAATCCTATAATTCACTATTGCCAGTTGAGAAATTGGCAAAAATATCATTTTCATCTTCAAATTCAAACATTTGAAGATAACTACTCCATGGTGGAGAATAGAAAACAAGGGAGGTAATTGTGTTATTATTTCCGGTGTAAATGAGTTTAAAGTGTGAGAATGACACCTATGATCGTATAATAGTGAGTTGACAACCTATTGAGCAAAGGACATAGAAATAATTATGTTTTGACTTTCTTAGAAAATATGAAATTGTAACTTTAAGTGTTGAATAGTGGTTCTTAGATGAATTTACTATATCGGTTAACTTTGAACAAATCATACTTCAGCTGCAAGCTGAGATTTTCTAGTCGCAAAACAATACAGCATGAAGTTAGGAAACGTTCGTTCGTAGTTTTTGAAAACGTTTCAGATTTACTGAAATATTAATCCTGTTGTACAGATGGGCAAATTTTCAACTACGTCCTTTTTTTAAACGATATTATTCATATGGACAATTTAATTGTCATAGTTTACCTTTTTTTCCAGCTGTGATTTGGATGGATGTCAAGCGGCAGTTTATGGTACCGGGAACTCGACTGGGAAATGGAAGTTGCATAGGGAAATTCTAGATTGGCAATAACAGGTTTATGTTTTTTCTGTATGTATTGTATATATTTTCTAAATTTTCATGGGTCCGTCTGATAGGTACAGTAAAGGACATTCTGTTGACTAGTTTGAAACACATCTTAAAATGGGGACCCCTTGGAAACACTGACTTTTAGTTAGGCTTGAGGTGTAAAACTACTTAAGGGACCGAGTCTATCTGTTATGTCTAGGGTAACATGTCATAACTTCAACAACAACGATCACACCGAAGATGTTTACCTCTATCGGGAGAAAACACACCGACGACCAGATGGGACGGACAGTTTCTTCATACATACAGAAAATAAACACCATAACTTCATCAACAAAGATCACACCGAATATGTTTATCTCTATCGGGAGAAAACACCGACGGTCAGATGGGACGGACAGTTTCTTCATACATACACAAAATAAACACCATAACTTCAACAACAAAGATTACACCGAATATGTTTATCTCTATCGGGAGAAAACACCGACGGTCAGATGGGACGGACAGTTTCTTCATACATACACAAAATAAACACCATAACTTCAACAAAGATCACACCGAATATGTTTGTCTCTATCGAGAGAAAACACACCGACGGTCAGATGGGACGAACAGTTTCTTCTATATCCCGAAAACACAACATAAACAGATACTTCACTAGTCTACAGACACAACATAAGTTTCTTCACTAGTCTACAGACACTACAGACACAAAAGTTTCTTCACTATTCTACATACACAAAGATTCGGGGTTCCTTGCAGCCAGGTGGCGAGACCTGTGCTTGAGGTTATTGTCTGGAGATTAGAAATGGTGGTAATGGTTGTAGGCTGCAGACGTACCATTACTTCTTAGAACATGTACACAACTACATTCAGTCCAATTTAGGACTTCCGTTCTTTTCGAATTGTGATCACCACACAATTATAAGACAGACCATAACGCAAGGGTTATGACATTGTTAATCTTAACACGATTCTGGATGAAATATATTACAAACTTCTGTCTCCTACGAAGTTTTCCGTTTTCCGTCGATTCTGGTGTGCACACCCCATTCATTGGCCTTCGACGGGGGCAGTTATCTTTGAAGACTTGAAATTGGCCACCCAGTTATCTCTAATAGTTAGTTTACTGTTATATCTTATAGCTATATAGGCAGTTCGCTTCGTTTCTCTAGAACATTACATTTGGGCTTGTTTCATCATGTAGAGTTTAAACCGATATCTTCACTAAAAGTCTATCAAATCACTTCTCTATGTAAAGGTGTGTCCAAGACTGGTTAGCAGGTGTTCCTTTACTGTAACATTTTGATTCACAAATTGATGGGGTTCGTTTGCAATTTGGATTTAACTATTGTTATATATCACCAACGGTCATCAATTTATCTAAATAAGCTTGTTATTGCCATCAATTTATCTAAATAAGCTTGTTATTTCCATCAATTTATCTAAATAAGCTTGTTATTGCCAAACTAGTATTTTTCTAATGAAGTCGTCTACAGATGTCTACTGTTATTATTGTTTATTTATATTATATTCATGATTATGTTTATTTACAATGTAAGGTCAGTAGTGAGTAAACACTTCCAGTTGATCAGAGCACTTGGGAAAATCCTACCTCCCCCTTCCTAAATGGGAGTTAGGGTTGGGTAGCCGGCTCGCAATACTGACCATTGATGTTAGAAACGCTTACAAAGATCAGAATATTTAGTTTTGGGTAACATTATACTTTATAAGTACATATGAGGTCAACATTCAAAATTTTTCATTGTCTATAATGTGTATTGTGTTTGTCGTTGGTAACTCAATCCGCCATTTTAAATAACCATTTCAAAAATACAATTTTTTTCGAGGGGTGGAGAGGTTACTTTTCCATATTTTTAATCAAATATCTTATGATACTAACTTTTTATACATTTTGGAAACATTATTTAATTTTTATGCTCCCATATTTTCAGGCCAAAGGTTAAAATTCTATTTTTCACTTTCTAAACTTGGAACATAAAACTTGATGGGTTTTTAAATGAGGTCAAATAACGATTATTTCAAACTTGGACACACCAATATGATTTTGTGTTTGGGAGGGAGGGGAGGAAAGGGATGTTATGTCAGACCCATAAGATGTTTTAATTTATATTTATATTTCACTGATATTACTCTTGGGACAATATCATCGACATATGATTTTTCTTTATTATCATAATGATTATCTTATGTTAAATTAATACACATTATAAAGGTTGTTATTTTGTACCCCCATATTAAACATTATTTATGCCTGTAGATCTGTGATGCTACATGTCAAACTTCTAAATTTTCCATTTTTTTAAACTTGGAACAAACCTTTATGGGAATTTGAACGGGGTAAAAATATTTCGAAAGTTTCGGCATACCAAAATGATGTGAGGGTGGTGGGTGGATCGTGACCGCCAGATCGTCATGCTATAGGTCAACATTCTAAATTTTCTTTTTTTTCCTAAACTTGGAACATAAACCTTTATGGGAATTAGAACGGGTCAAAATTATTTCGAAATTTTCGACATACCAACATGTAGTAGTGGGTGCGGGGTGGTTATGTTTTTAGGAGCAACCGCATTTCATAGCTTTTAAAATATTGTTTAATATGGACCAATTGATAATTTATCAGTTAAAAGAGATTATATTATTGTATTGTTTGTTAATTAAATACTGATAGATGTACTTAAAAATCATTTACAAATAAAATATTTCACCATCACTGTGGTTTGGATCTGATAGGGTGGGGGAACACTAGCCTTGTAATTTTGCTGTGAAATGTTGAACAAGCCGGCGGTAGATGAAAAACTGAGCTGCAGAATAAGCTTGTGAAATCAGTGTTCAGGGAAGTGACGATTATCATGGAAGAAACATGATTCTTATTAATTTGAGATAACAATTTCACAGATAACAAGGTTTTAGTTTTGGAATATAGCACATTTAATGTAAAGAACGAGAGTTGTTTTAACTTGGATCCTTCCAGCTGCAAAGTGTTCCATTTTAATCCACCCGAACTAGGCATATCTCTATATCGGCCCCTCAGATGCCCCTCTGCCCAATTTGTTGCACTATTTCATGGCTGTTCTGATGAAGACATTGTTACATCTATTGCACGAAAAAACGTCGGGTTAATCAACGAAAATTAATGTAAGAGAGAAGTGGGGTTTTAACGTCCACTCACACGGATCAGGTCAGTTCATGACTAACGTGGTTTTGGTTATTCTCATTTGATCATAAGGTCTGTCATTTAAGTCAACTGTTGCGGTATCGATTTCCCGCTTGTGTATGACAAGGGGTAGGTTGCCTGTCCAACCTCATGGGTTTTCTACGGGTCATCCGGTTTCCTCCCACTGCTAAAAATCCATAAGCGCAAGCGAATTATTGAAATAAAATTGAACCATGTGTTTGTCTCGAAATTACCTAGTTTGTGTCAAGTGTACTGTTAAACCCCATTTCTCTCTTCCTACTGTTAAAGACCCTATGTGAACGCTCTAATGACAAAACTTATCATCCGATCTGTATGAAATTTTTATGCATTATTTAATTTAGTGAAATGAAGAATCCTATTGAATTTCAGCAATTTCTGTTAATTATGTCTAAGAGTTATGGCCCTTGATCACTTTGAAATATCTTGTGGATGCTCTAGACGAAGAAACCTATTGCTTTTCAATGATTTCGATAATTACTGCCAGAGTTATGGCCCTTGATCACTTTGAAAAATCGTGTGGATACTTTAGAGACCATAGTTATCATTATATATATATATATATATATATATATATATATATATATATATAAAAATTGTTTCGATTGATCCACAGAGTTTAAGGTCTTGAGACGAACAAGTATATTGATTTTCAATGATTTTTGGTAACTTGAACAGCTAAATCCATGGTATTAAATGTTTTGTATACTAAATGTTAGCCGTATGTTTCGTTGCCTGGCAACCTCCTAGGCCTATATTACCTCTTTCCTATACGACAGAAAATATATACAAAAAGACTATATAACCATGTTATGATAAAATCAATCTAAATAGTATAAGAATAAAATGAACAAAAAAAGGGGGGGGGGCCTATGTACATATTTACAATTTCAGGTTTGCCATATTCATATATTTAGCTACTGGATTCATTTTTATTTAAACCTTCCGGAGATGTCTAGAAATCTATGGACTTGTTCAAAGATAATACTTGAAATAATAATATCGTCAGTGCCTTTTAATAATGTCTGTATTGAAATCACGTTTTGGGGTAAGGTAAAAATTGAATGTTTACGTGCATCGCGATGTAGAGGACAGGTTTTAACCACGAGAGCACCATGCAGAAATTGAAAAAAACGATAACCCGGGGTTCAGCAAATTTCACCCATACTTGGTCTATGGGGACCCCTAGACGACAGAAGTCACATGATGGAGTGAAAAAATTTTGAACTGACAACTTCCGGTATAACTGGAAATTGTTGTTTTGGGGCAAAAGTTGACATATTTCGACCAATTTGTTACCCTAATTTCAAAACGCTCCTACCCGAAAAGTTGTGTCTCTAAATTTTTGATATTGGTCAGGTATGATAGGCCTAGTAGTCGTCTTAAAATCCTGCAGTCGTTTGGGAATGAATGAATCATGTGGAATTTTCTGTGAGTGATCATAAAGTGGTCATTTTACATATGTTTAAAACTATGCTATCCTAAAACGCATGTAGCTGCTTCTTTGCAGGTCTGACATAGAATTGCTTGGTGTGGTTGTGAAGGGCATTTCTCAAAGTAAATGTCAAAAGAAAAAAACTGACCGGAACGCAACGCAACCCACTAGAGTGCTGTAATATTCTGAAAATGTGTAAAAACGGTATTTTCCACGAAATTCGTCTTTTCACTAATGACCGAATACTATTTTCAAGAGTTCAAATGACCGTTGATTATGAACATTAGTACTATTTTTGTTACTTGAACGTTCCTTGTGCCAAATATACTATCTTGGTTAAAAATCATGAAGTTTTTGTGACAAAATCGGACGTTCGCGGTCATCGTAGGAAAGGGGCTTAACTGGTGTATAATTTTGCAGGATCAGGCAACGATTATTCTCACCTGTATTCAGTAGTTAGTAGCACGGAAGTGCATAAATGTAAGGACTGGCATAGCAAGCTTTTATATTAGCACAATTTAACCTAAGCAGCACCTTTTCAGCAATGACCAACGATTATCTTCAAATGACTACTGATCATCACCATTACTTGTAATATTTCGTAATTTCAACGTGAATCGTGTCAAATAGATCATTTTGTTTAAAATCATAATATTTTTGTGACAAAATCTGACTTTCACGCTTGCTTGATAGCCATAGGGAAGGGTCATAAGTGGTGTGTAATTTTGCAGGGATCAGACCACTGTTATTAAGATCTGTATTCATGAGCAGATCATCGTATAAATTTGACTGACATGACTATCATAAACATGATATCTTTTAATTTGTACACCTGCTCATGTAAAGAAGAACCATAAGAAGAAACATTCAGAAGTGTTCATGTAGGTACATTTAATGTCTGGTATTGAAATCTCTGAATCATGGCATAGATCAAAACAGGATTTATGGCACTCCAGGATAATATTGACAGCATGTGCCAAACTCCTACATATACCTACGTTCGAGCAGAAGTGCTCACTTACTTAGATTCCTACGTTCGAGTGTAAATGCTCTCTGACCTTCCTTCAAGGTTTTTGGACCACAGAGTACTGTTTTATTTTGTAGTACTGTTTTTGACCTCTTCTCCTTCAGGGATTTCAATATGGAATTATCATAGCCTCCCGATTTGAAAATGCCTCTCCATGAAAACGTCCAAATGTTTCCATACAATGATCGGCTCCTAAATACAGATGGGAATAAGCTGGTCTGATTCCTAAAATATGTTTGACCAAAATAACCTATTTGGCACAAGGAACATTGGCAGAAAAGGTGTTGTATGGTCGTCTTGCTGATTGTGTGACTACGACTTACTGTCACTGGATCATCTACAATCCCCTCGTCCTTAAAACCTGTTACAAGTACATCCCTCAGAAACACTTCTTTTACCCAAGAGCTAAAATATGCTTACACTGAATCGTGTATCATATTTCACCTTTCATTATATCATATTTATAGAAGACGATTTCTTCTGTTTAAATTGCATTGGACATTCATGAAACTTGTCGCTGGTCTAACACATAGACTTTAGATCCTAAGGTCTGTCATTGAGTTACGTGGTGTGACAGCATGCCGGTGACATGGTGTGGTGTTGTTTGTTCAACCTCATGGATATTCTCTTTTCCCACAAGTGTATTATTGAAGTGAAATTGTAATATATATTAGTCCCAAAATGACCTAGTTTGTGTTGAGTGGACCTTAAACTCCATTTCTCTCTCTTAAGTCAAAATCACCCTTGCTAACGAATATATTAACTTTGTGATGATGTCCATAGATACAGTATGCATCACCATATTATGCTAGTCCCAAAATGACCTAGTTTGTGTCCAGTGGACTTTAAATCTCATTTTACCTTGTTCCTCTCATGTGTAAATCATCCTTGCTAACGACTAAATGGAATATATTAAATTTGTAAAGATGTCCATACATATACTTCATCTGGGGTATTGATAGATGGGACATTTTATCCTAATTTTTGGTGTTTTTAATATATTTCTCCTGTTTTTATTATGACTGTTCCGGTCATTTTTATTTTTTATTTTGTTAGTAGGAAGGTTGCTAGTTGTGGGTAACATTCAACTTCGGTCCTAGTCCCTGCAAAGAACGAGCTATAGTCTCTTAAACATTGGTTTTCATTAAATTCAATTTTCAGAGAGAGTTGGGTATCCGGCCAGTACCAAGAAACTTCAAAATCAGTGTGAAGGAGGAACCTGAGTGGTCCTACTAATGCCCAAAATTTTGTCTATCCTAATCAATTATTGTCCGAATAGCAGGTCATTCAAATTTGGATCCAAAATTGCCTATTTTTGGCTTATTTTTCGATTAAAAAATACTTTTCCAATTTTCCAGGTCGGTATCAACTGAATCAATCTAATATTTTGTGGGGATGTATCTGGGTACTAACCCATCTCACAGAAAAAATTTGGTCCAAATCCCTGACCCAAGGGTTATCACCCCCTGCATGGTGCTCTCGCGGACACGCTCTTAAGTTACTAAACCCTTAGTCCTTCTGTGGTGTACTGGCTTTATATGTACTTCCTTGATTCTGATCGTTCTGCGCTTCGCTTGGAAACTATAAATATTATTATTATTGGTTGGGCCTGCGCGTCACCTGTTTCGGACACTGGGTATAATTGCCAAGTATAGTCGTAAGAATGGAAGACATGTCTCCAAAAATGATTACGTGTCATATCGGGCGTATGTTAGATCACGGGACAATTCTGTAATTGCATAAAAGCGGCTATTATAAATTACAAGTTCTGGAATGAGGATCGTTGGATGCGATATACATTTAGTGAAAAGCTAAAGTAATTTTAGTTTAAATATATCATTTGTGTGGAAATTACCACTGTTCGGTTGGTTGTGCCGTATTATTTATCAATATGGAGATTTCTGTTTTATGGATATTGCTATTGAAGGAAAGATGCTCAATCTACGCATCGTGGCACGTTTTTATAAATTTAATAAATTTCAAACGGTGAGTGCGCGTCTTTTAATAATAAAGCAGAAATATAGTTCGGTTGTTTTTGCTGAATTTACTCTCTATATTCCCGTGGATATTCAAATTGGGTGCTGACTGGTCGGTATTGATAAATGACAACATTATATTCGCCTTTC